GCGCGCGGCCCGCAGGCACACACAGGCACGGCAGGCACACACGAGCAAGCGACGCTCCGCAAGCACACGGGCACGGCACACCGTCAGCGCGCAAACGGGGTGGCGCGGGGCGCAAAAGTGCGCAACGACGCACTACCAAGGCACACAGATGAGATGCGCGGCGGCGCGCGCACGCGGGGGAGTGAAGGGGCAAGACAGGAGCAGGACACACAGGCAGGCTGAAAGGGGAAACACGGGAGCAGGCCACGGCCGGATACCAGCGAAGGCGACCGCGCCGGGGAAACCGGCGGCCGGCGAGCGGCAGAGGCGTGAGCAGCGCGAAAGCGGGGGCAGGGCAACGCGCGAGCGAGAGCGGCAAGGCGGGGCGGGACCTGGACCGGGACAAGGCGAGGGCCAGGGCGACGGGGGCGGGGGGGGGCGCCCCCGGAGAGGCAGGAGGGCGGGCCGCGGGGGGGCAGGGCGGGGTGTGCGAAAGCGCCGGCCGCCCCCCTGGAGGGGGCCGCCGGCGGCGCGAGGGAGACGGACGAACCCAAAAAAAAGGGGGGCCGCGGAGCACAGGGGAAAGGCGCGGAGGGGGGAGAATGCAAACAGGGGCGGAGGGGGGCAAAGGAAGAGAAAGCGGAGAAAGACAGAGAAAGCGAGGGGGGGGCAGGCGCGGAGGGACACAGCGCCGGCGACAAACAGGGCGGCGCCGGCGAACCAGGCCGAGCCAGAGGGGACCCGCGCGCAGAGGAGCAAGAGAGAGGACCAAGGCGACACACGACCAGCCGCGGCGAATCGAGCACGCGGGGGGAAGGGCCGGACCAAGCAGGGACGCGGAACGAGGGCGGCGCGGGACCGCCGTTCGCTCTCCCGCCGGACCGCTCGCAGCACCGGGGGGGAGGGCCGGAACGCCGGGTAGAAGAGGAGGCACAAGCGGAAGAAGGAAAGAGAGGGGGGGCACACGAAAGCAAAAGGAGAGGGCAGACGGGCAGCAGGCGAAGGGAAGCAGAGGGACGCAGCCCAAAGCCCAGAAGGAAGTAAGGAGAGGGACACGGGGAAGGACAGGGGGGGAAAAGGGGAAAGAGGGGGTGGGGGACGGGGGCGATGATCTGGGGTATCGGTGGCAGCTGTGAAAGAGGAGGGGGCGTTGCAAGCCGCGAAAAGCAGCGACGGGGGAGGGACACGGCGGAAAGCGGCAGGCCAGGCGCAGTCCAAAACGCGAAGGCGCGGGCAGGACGCAGAGGAGCAAAGACGCGGGGGCATGGGTGCAGAAGCACACGACCGGAGGGGCAAAAGAAACGCGAGGGCCGCCGCAAGGGCACGGCGGCGGGGCGGAGAAAAGGGTAAGGGGGAAAAGACGGGGCCAAGGCAAAAGGCGTCCGAGGGGGGGGACAGCATCTAGGGGCCCCAAGCAACCGGCAGGCGGGGCGACCGGGACACCGCGGGAGGCGGGGGGAGCAAAGAGAAAACACAGGGGACCGGCACCGCGAACCACGGCGAGGCGAGAGGGGGCGAGCAAGAAGCGCGGCGGGAAGCCGGCCAAGAAGGCCAGGGGGCGACACCTGGCGCGGGCGGGGGGTGGGGTGAAGCAGAACGGTCGCAGGGAAAAGGCGGAGCGAACGATGAGGGGAGCGGGGGCAGAAGGGAGTGGGAGCAGGCAGGCCACGGAAAGGGGGGCGAGGCGAGGGACGGGAAAAGGAGCGGGGAGGCGCAGGGGGGCGGCGGGAAGAGAAAGAACGAGCCCCGACGCGAGCGAACGGCAGGGAGAGGGGAGGCAGCAGGAAGGAGAACGAAGGAGGGAGCGACGAAGCGAGGGCCACAGCACTCAGGCGGGGGCAAAACGGAGGACAGAGGGAGCGGGAGAAAGGCGGCGGACAGGTAGGCGAAATCGGCAGCGGGACGGGGCAGGGACAGCGACCGGGGGAAGGAACAAGGGAACGGGGGAGGGAGAGGAGGCGACTGAACGCGAAGGACCCGGAGGCAAGGAGAGGAGGGAGCAAGGCGGCAGGAACGGGGCCGAGCACCAACGGCGGGGAAGGGAGCGGCAGAAGCAAAGCGGGAGGCAGCAGGGATGCAGCTAGGACATGCCAGAGTAGCGGAGCGGCGGAAGGGAGGCGGGAAGAGAAGCGTACTCCGACAGAGACACAAAATGCGCAAACTTACAACCGGGGGCGAGAGAGAGCGGTGGACAACAGATCAGGGAAGCCGGGAGGGGGTCGACAAAGTGAGCGCAACAGAGTGAGGGGCCGGGTTGTTGGGGGGGCTGCACGGGTCCAGCACAGGTGGGGCAGACGGCAGGACAAAGCGGAAAAACAAGCCGGTGCCCAAGATTGGTACCAGAGAAGCAGTTGCAAGTGCCACCGCAGACAGAGGAAATCACAACAGGGACGGGCGGAGCATGATCAGAGAACCGAGCTCGTGAGGCACGAATAGCCGGCTGCGCTGGCCGTCCGCAGGAGCGAAAGGGCTATGGTTTCTAGAGCTAAATTTAAGAATAAGCTCAGTCCACATGGTTTGGGTAGCGCGTCTAAGTACTATAGGCCCGCATACACGGTTGCCGGGCTGGCCTATAAGCATCCAGCGCATGTAGCCGAGTGCTTTCGGGAAGCGCAACCTTAGTTCGGACGGCGACGGTGATGTCCCAAGCAGCTCGGCTATAAAACGTCTGTGCAGGGTTCTGCCCCGACGTTGCGCAAACTGGGCGCGCATGGCCTGAGGGCTGATGGGAGGGTGTCCAGGCTGCCGCTGAGGATGAAGCAGAGCGGAGAAGATGAGAGGCGTGGAAGGGTGGCGTTTGGAGAAATCTCCCGCGCACCGCGGGCCGTTGGAATGCGTTGCGCCGCCGTTTAAATTACCGCTCCGCACAGGCCGGTTGGAAAATTTCCACGCACAGCATAGGAAAGTGTTGACAGCGGCCGGGAATCGATGCCCAAGGAATTGCACGTAAGACGCAGGACAGGTCTGACGCATGCACTGGCAGAGAGGTAATCAAGTTAACTGACAATGCACAGTTAATTGCCTGTGAAGTCTGTGACTACTGTAACACCGAGCTCGGCCTATGCTTATATATCCAAACAATGAAGCCCAAACCACTCCCGTCGTTATGGTGTGGTGGCGTGATTTTACGTCCATTAACAGGCATACATAGGCGCCATTGATTATACAAACGTTGACGATGGCTAGCAGTCAACTGGCAAGCGTTCTGTAATTAATAAGTAGCATTACCGTTATAGTCAAAGGTATTAGTTTGGTCCAGTGATCACTGCGTAATTACTCAGAAAAGATGTTCTAATTGAATATCCGTAAATTCTGGTAATCTTGCGGCGCAACACTAAATTGGTTGCCAACGCAAATCAAGCCTCGAATTCGTTAGCAAGTCACAGATGTTGGCTCCGGGTGTTTAGGCAGAGAATTGTTTTGTCCCGGGATGGCTTATATACACTAATGAGCTAGTAGAAGTGTAATCTCTGGTGTATTCTCGTCCTTGAGGGCACAAGTAACTAACGTGGGTGCTAATGAAAGGTCGCGCAGCATGTTCGTTCAGATTTCAAGGACACAGGTGTATTCGTTTGACGCTAATACGTAATACCGTAGTGCGGATCTGCTTTTCGCATGGTTTAGTCCGTCTGTGGCCGTGGTTAGTCCAGGTATCCTCCACATAAGGCGTTGGCTAGCCCGCAACACGGGCCATACTTCATTATCGAGGAGCGCCTCTGTGATTCACTAGCGTGGATTTCCACGTTCATGTACAGATCCGAGCTATCTGTTACCTATATACAGTTACGGTACTGTACTATCGCTACATTGCGTACGGACCTGACCGCGCGAAAAATCAATGGCGTCGCGTGCGTTTTTGCATATGCGTGCGAAAATGTCCGAGGTGGACTATAAATCTGTATCACGACGCCGGTCTCGAATTATGGCGGTTTGAAAACTGGTAACAAGGTCAGTCAACTGACTTCGTGACTGGGATTCAATTAGACATTTCTTAGTAAGCCAGCTGTGATATTGGACAACCTATACGGCGTTTGGCTCTAAGGTAATGTACTTATTAACTAAACAGGTGCAGTTCTCTAGCACGTTAAAATTTGCATAAGTCGGATGCCCTATTATGGGCCTTTAAATAATCGTCGTACGTAAAAAATACACGCCCCCGGACGCCGCCTAGTTCCCGCCCGCCTTCCCCCCTTCCCCCCCCTCTACCCCTCCCCTCCCCCCTGTTTGAATTTCATCCTGGGGAGACCCTGCTGTGGTAGGCATTATGCCTCTTATCCGAAGTGAATATGTCTTAAGTTGATAACGCGGAGCTACGCTAAAATTAACGCTCCCTACCTATCCGTTCGGCAATGGTATAGCTTGCGCGTAATTTCTTGTGAACGAAGCATTCGATTGCGAACTTCAAATGCCGGCCATTTTTGCGGCGCTGCCGGGCAGGCCAGCAGCGCCAGTCAGTCGGGAACTATCGTATTTCGCGCACCGTGGAGGGTGTAGGACGGCATTGGTTGGTTTGTGGAACCAAAACCGTTGTTGGTCAAGTGGAAGCAAATTAAGCGAGTCAAAAAGATAGTAATATAGTTTTTTCAACTGCAAAATGAAACAAATTACTATTATTAATTTGTTAGCTTGAACAAACAATGTTTTTTGTCCCACAACCAACACAACACGCCCACACCCTCCACGTGCGGCAAATACACTAGTTGCCGCTGAACTGGCTGGAGTAAACTTGGTCGCCGAGCATAGGTCGTAATGGCTGATGTATACCGCCCTAGCGGCAACTGTACGCGGGCCTATATATATGAATGGGAGGGCCTAGTAGTAGTAGTAGTCGTACTGAGGGGTCTAGAGCCTAAAGTAGGCTAAATGCCTAATGAATGGTTTGGAGGGCAGTCAAATATAGGGATTTATAGGAATTTTCTTCCCCCAAATATAGGCAACTCCTATAAAAAATATAGGAACTATAGGAGTTTATAAACGAAGCTCTTAGTGAGCCACACGAATTGTTATTTATCCCTACCGTGAGTCCACGTAGCGGTTTGTTTCCGCTATTACGTTTGTGCTCGATTACCAGGACGAATGACGTGAGATATGCGAAGAAATTCCTCTAAAGATGCCATCCTAGAGTTTCTACTTGTCTGTGTCAAGAGTCGATTCGTACGATGCCGTAAAAAATCATCATTCTCGTGTCCTTTTATTCGGCCAGGAACTTCTGCTTATCAAAAATTCTTTTTCTCTCTTGTAACAGAGTGTCGAACTCTGACGGAGAAGTAGTCATCGCGAACAATCGATTCGAAAAGGAAAATATTTCAGCTCAATGTCTAGCTCAAATTCTGCTCAAATTTGTCTGCGCTGAACGAGAGGCTGCGATAGACTGTAACTCCGCTCCGACCCGTCGCATTACTCGATGGCGTAAAAGGTAGGGACGGGTACCAGTCTAGAAATACAAGAGTAATAGTGCTCGCCACGTAAGCGTGTCGCCTTTTGAGAACGTAAACCTACGAGTGCATAAGGATCGCTAACCTGTATGATACAGAGCGGTATGTTTTCGGTCTTGCACTACAGGTCTCTACGACCCCACTTGGATCGTTATAATATCACTCTATATATCGAGTATATATTATAGAGATGCGAGTGTGATCTAAGTAAACTATTCAACGTGATATGTAGTGTAAGCTGAACCGGACCGCGCTGTATCATGACGTTGTGCTTTAACGCGAAAAGTGAATTCGAAATTATCACTTGGACGGTTTGAGAATATTATCGCGTTGTTAGATGTCGCCGCGAGATCTATACATGATCGTAGGGCGTGGGCTGAGTAGAGTGTGGCGATCCTTCTGGTTCAACAATAACATGGACAGGTTTATCTGGTGTGATGGTTCGCTTGGCTTAGGAGAAAATGCACTTTGTCAACAGTCAGGTGTGAGAATATACGAAGGAGAAGACAGGGTAGGGGTCTATATTTATATCATAAATATGTACAAATAACATTTGCTTCAAATTGTTGCCGGAACCACTGGATATTTTGATTTGATCATCGGACACTGATTTGACAGTGATTAAGCCTAGGCACAGGAACGTTTCAATAAAAAAACAGAGTGGCTATATGCCCGGCAGTCGGCATATATCTGACGGCTGCCGGGCACGGTCTTCGATTTCCTAAATGCCCGGCAGTTTTTAATTTTTAGCGTTATCTCAAGTAAACAAGGCTTAGGGTTATGATTAGGGTTAGGGTCAGGATTAGGGTTAGGGTTAGAATTAGGGTCAGGATTAGGGTCAGAGTTAGGGTTAGTGTTAGGAACTGCCGGGCATTTAGGAAATCGAAGACCGTGCCCGGCTGCCGGGCATATAGCCACAGCGATAAAAAAAACGCAGTGGATATTTAACCGTACGGTATACGACAGAGTACGTTATCCACTTCCGCTATTTTACCGTACAGTACTTCTGATTGGGTAGTATATTTATGTATGTTAGCAAGGTGGTCCACAACCTAATATTCAAACATGTAAAACTGGGAACTATCGAGGAGTACTTGAGATATTATTATTAATATTAGTTAATTACTTAATTATTATTACTATTAGTTTAAATTATGTGCGCGAGGCACACATTACGAGAGCAAAGCGCGAAGTCACTTGCGGCCGGGGTCCTGGAAGTGGAAGCTCAGGGGTATTAGACACAGGCACTTGGAACGTCTCAATAAAAAAATAAAACGCAGTGGCTACGGGTACGGTAGCCGTCGGTCGTTGAAGCCCCTTTTTGGCGTTAGGGTTAGGATTAGGGTTAGGTTTAGGGTTATGGTTAGGCTAAGGTTTAGGGTTAGGGTTAGGGTTCTAGCTCATCTAAACTCTCAAATCGTGATTTTATTTCCCAAGGCGTTATTTTGAAATCTGGCGCCACCGCCGCCATCTTTGTCTCGTTAAGTATGAAAGCGAATGGACTCCCGTACCCGTAGCCTCGAGACATTAAGAAACGGCTACCGTACCCGTAGCCACTGCCAAAATAAAAAGGCAAATAAACACGAAATGTATTTAATACCAAAGTCTTAAAGCCGCGCTCTGCGCATCCAAACGCTAATTTCTCCAGTACTAGACTAGCAAATACTTCGTGTCATGCATGATCACACTACCTTATGGCAAAATAAACTCTAATTCCTCCCATTTCAGTGCGCGTTTGCTTAAAACCCACAAGAAAGAGGTGCGAAATCTGGTAATCTGGCGCCAACGCTAAATTGTTTGCCATACAATTTCGCCAAGAATCGGTTAGGTGACGTCACATGTTTTTATCTTTGCTACACCCATACCGCTGTACCGCAGCTGGCGCAGCACCGTGCCATGGTTGCTTGGCAGAGCAACGCGAAAGTGTCAACAACATCGGAGAATTTGAACAACATTGGAGGTATTTTAAAATGCCTTTTATAAGACAACGCGCAGTGAAATGGGAGGAACTCAAGTTTATTTTGTCATAAGGTAGTGTAATTATGCATGACACGAAGTATTTGCTAGTCTAGTACTGGAGAAATTAGCGTTTGAATGCGCATAGTGCGGCTTTAATGTTTCTCTACTCTATTTCGCCTATAATCACCTGTAAATGCCGGTCAAATGCTCATATGCAACACACAAGTACACCGCACGCTAGCTGCTGCACACTGACACATAAATATATAGACACTATATATTTATGTGTCAGTGTGCAGCTGAGCAGCTATAGCGTGCGGCGGCCAGCGTGTGACAGTGTTTTGTAGATGAGCATTTGGACGGCATTTAGAGGAAATTGTCGGCAATAATAGGTGAAAGAGAGTAGAAAAACATTAAAGGGACAGTAGCCTCTAGGATTTTACTGCATACAACTGTACTTACTGTATAACAAATCGTCTATACCCACACGTATTTGTTACCAGATACCTAATTTAATTGTTATAATTAATTACACATCAACGCTACGAAATTTGAACGGTGCCATGACACCCGCGACCGTGCTGCCACCCCGAAAAAGTTGCGTATTTGACAATTTATTTTGCACGTTGCAGACCGATGGGCTAATCACAAAAGTGCAATTATATTTATACCTAAATGCTATTTAACCGAACAATATTCATTTTAGGGCAAATTTATCCATATTATAACTGAAACTATATGTCTTTTATAAGATATTACAATGCTTTTGCTTTTAAATGAATAAATAAGAAACACCCTCGGTCTGTAGCCCTTGGCTGGAAAGTGGTTTTGCGCAACTTATCAGATCGTTCACCTGCAATCAAACTCGAGTCGTTAGTTTTATAACATTTAAAAAAAATATTTCTTGTGAAAAATAAAAAAGTGATTGAACCATGAAAATTTTTATGTAGCGTAATTATAACCTAAATTAGCTGAAAATAACCCTAGAACCTAGAGTAAACTCTCCCTTTAACTGATTAAGACTTTGGTAGTAAATAGATTTCGTATTTATTTAGCATTATATTTTATTGAAACGCTCAAAGTGCCTGTGGTTTTAGATGCTCTCTGGTGCAATCTGAGCCTTATTTTGGAGCATTTTTGCACAAAATTTATTACCTATATTTCAAAATAATTTGGGTTGAGTCGAGTCATTGAGTGATGAGTCATTTTTCATTGTTCAATTTGTATACTAGTGTGAATGTAACAAGTAAAATGTTATAAAGCAATGTGCGAAAAATGCAAATAAATTTACTATGGTGAAACTATATTGATATGGGGCTCAGGACAAGTGAAAGTTTGCCGGACAAATTATTCGTTTGGCTAGTTGCCCGATTAGACAACTAAAAAATTTCTAGTTGTGTTATATTCCTAACATCCTTTGAGCAAGGGCGCTATCGCACGACATTCTCACATTTATATATTTTCTATTTTCAAAGGCCGCCAAAAAAAGCGGCCTGTCTGTGGCTATACACATCGACGCTGCGTACGTGCTAGTGATGTCACGATCATCGATTATACTCGATCATCGGTTGAACAGTGGCTCGAACCAAGCGCTTAGTGATGTCACGATCATCGATTATACTCGATCATCGGTTGAACAGTGGCTCGAACCAAGCACTTGGTTATCAAAATCCATAATCGATTTCATCGAAAAAAAAAAAAAAATCGAAATGAATGTAAAACTTGAACAAGAAAACTTGGAAAAGTGATGAGAATCAGAGATATCATCGCTACTATACAAGTTATCCTTTAATAACATACATGAATTATACACACAGTAGTAAACAGTGCAAAACAAACAGTAAACAGGGCTAAACAAGCACATACATGCACACACGTACATGCACACGACGTTACGCACATGCAGGCATTCAACACCCTGACTGAGTAACCGATTGTAACCGATCATCGGTTACTTGGGTTCAACCGATGATCGATTACGAAATTACAACCGATTGACAATACTAGTACGTGCCTGCTGGCTGGGGGCGGCATTGATTGAAGTGGGGGGGGGGGGCGCACGATTGTTTCAGTCGCGTGGTGCTAATCACTACTGAAATGTAGTGGGAATTGGCATTGCTGGACTATGAGAGAGCGACAGCAAAATTATTTCCTGAAATTGAGGAAAAATCTACAATCGGGAATGACACATGAGTGTGCCGGCATGCAAAAATAAATGTGTGAATTTCTTTACGATTTTCTATGGATTACCGTTCTATAATCATATGGGTCTAAGTAGGCACGCCCACATACACATACGCACACCCACAGGCGTGCACGCACGAACACAGGCACGCACGCATGACTCAGAGCAAGCAGCTCAGAAGACGCACTGTATGACTCGACTGCCCGACAAGTGGGAGCCCATGCACAGAGTAAAACAGTGTAATTGACTGTAATAGTGTATGCTACAAGCGCGCGCTAGCTGTGACTACGCGTACGTCGTCCCGTTCGACATTGCAGTACAATTGCATTTTGCTTTGTTTGTGTTGTTTCTTGCTTTGATATTTCAAACCTGTCGGCCTGAAATCCAAACCTGTCGGCTCAAAACTCAAACCTGTCGGCCTTACATGTTAAAATCCCTCGTGGACCACACTGATGTTAGTATATTATTATTATGTATTATGAATGTGTTCAAAAGGTTTCGTATTGGAAACGTGATTCACGGAAAATAGCTTCTATGATCAAACGGTGCTACAAATGTCATTGTGTAGAAATAAATGGGATTTGAACCTAAGTTTTCTAGATAGCTAAACCTTATGGGATTCAAACGTAATGTTGATGATGTCATAAATATACTAGCCAATCAAATGTGGTGTACAGTAAAATAGTGAAAGTGGATACTCTGCCGTATACCGTATACGGTTAAATATCCACTGCCTAAAAAATATGGCAGTAAATGAACGCGAAATGCATTTACTAACAAAGTCAGTCTTAATGTTTCTCTACTCTCGTTCCTATTTTTAGTAATAACTTTCTGTAAATGCGGTTGAAATTAACTTCCGCAACACCCATGCAATTGCAAGTACTCCGCACGAACTCCGCTGACACTGTGCACAAACAACAAAAATATAGAGCAGGTGGGAAAGCGTGAGTGCAAAATTCACACGGGCTCGCTTCATTTCACACAATCACAGCAAAAATACACAACCACCCGCCTCCATTTTGTGGAGTCCACCATCCTCAGTTAAATGACTGAATGTGGGTAACATTGATTTTCTCATTTAATAAAACTCTGTGTTTCTTTCAACACCGTGAAATAATTGTATTTGTGGATGCAGTGAAGGTAAGGCAATTGAAGTTGGGGTGTAATTCAATTGGGATCATAAAATGAATATCAGATGTTAGGGAAGGAATTATAATAAAGGTTTTCAAGCATTTCTAGCCAAGTAGCAAGTGAATATGAATCATGATTCTGTGGAAACTCGACCTTAATAGCTATTTAGCTATTAAGCAGTTTTCAGTCAGTTTTTTGCGTGTATTTCAGACCTCCTTTGACCGTGGAATTTTGGCATTAACGACACATAGGCTTATTTGGAGAGATTCTTCAGATCAGGTATGTGGCGTGAAAGAATATTTTTCAGAGTCCAAGGTACTATGACGAAGAAGTGAGGTTATGGGAAGACAATAGTTGGTGTCAAGGAGTGACACCATGACAACCCTAGCTCTCACTACCAGGTCTTCTCCATTATCAATTTCATAGCATAATTACTGTAAACGGTGTGGCATACTCATCTTGCACGTGATACCACGAAAGACCCATTGTGAGCTGTAGGTTATTGTGGAATGCAACCTGAACATTTAAATCCGTTTTCATTTGCTAACACGAGAAGCCATTATTTATTAAGAAAACGTGTTATCGCAAGTGCGCTGTCAGAACGTGACTGATTGATATTAACTGATTGACAGCTTTCCATTGGTATGTTAATTGTGGCTGCTGGTTTTTGTGATTGCCAAATGCAGTGCTGATACCACGATGGCTTGTGTATGCTAAATGTTTGCAGATCAGCTGTTATTATAGCAGCACATGCATACTTCTTTAAGTGAATTTATCTTTATTCAATAGTTGTATCATTGAAAGTCGTTTTTTCAGTATCTGCTCATCATAGGGTAAGTATAGCAACTTTCGTCTGCTGTGTTTGTTTTTTAAATGTGAATTCTTTTATTTTTAGACATGTATCCTATCATTAGATCTGTCAATAGTGGTATTTCTAGAAGAACATCCATCTGGATTTGCAAAAAGGTAAAATACTAAACTAGTGAATTAGAGTAAATATCATTAATATGGGTAATTTTAATTAAAACATTTTTATTGTAACTAATATCATGAGTGAATATTATATCTATATTATAGTATATATCGCTATTATTCACTCCTTCTAATATCATTTTTGATTGATCCAGCTCAAAGATTGTGGTACATATGGGCCCACCACCTTCATCAAAGGCTGCAGGACCAACTATGACCAGCAGCTCTAACTATATTAGGCTGTCCTTCAGAGATGCTGGGGAAACACAGGTAGGATCATATAAGATAATTTAATTACGAGATATATGCAATAACTGATGTGACAGTTTTGATGTGTTGTCTATAGCATAGCCATAGTAGAGCACAGATTATATTCTAGATGTCTAAGAGTACTTGCATTCGTAGTGTCAATGTAGTTTTACAGATCATTCAATGATGTTCTTGCGAAGAAACCCTGGGAGAAAAACACTCCTCCGGTCATTGCAGGAAAAGCTTCTGCTGGACAGGTATTACAGATAATCATCTTTTTGCTCTAGTGGTCTTGTGTCGAGTTATAAATGCATGTAAGACATAACCTAGTAAAATTAACTAAAACAAAGTGTGGATTAGCCGATGATATAATGTAGTCTGTAAAGCCAATGATCATAATTCTTCTTTAATGCATGTATCTTTTTAACATCTACAGGTGCGACATTTCCGGAGTGGCATTGTTGGCATAGAAAGGAAAATGCAGGCAAAGCATGAGCAAACCCAACAGAACATCTCTGTGGCCTTTGAAGACCTCAGTAATCTTATTGGCAAGGTATATGGTTAGGATATATATCAGTAAGCAAAACCACATATTATATATATATATATATATATATATATATATATATATATATATATAAGTATATAATACTACGTAAGTAAGTTACGTTACTACTTACTCTAC